GGGGGGTGGGTGGTGTGTGTGTGTGTGTGTGTGTGTGAGAGAGAGAGAGAGAGAAGAATAAACAAGAAAATGGGGAGTAGGGAATGAGGACTTCAAACCTGGATTTACCGCGATCTGAATCGGCAAGTCTTCCCAAGGTTTTATCAGATTTAGGCTCTGCCCCGTTCGCATTGGCAGGTATTTCACCATTTTCACGGGAAAATTCACCCTCCTCTTGTGATGCGTTGTCAAGAATGACTTTTACTTCCTCTTTCTTCTGGCGATCCACTTCTGGTTCTTGGTCTAAGACTGGGGAGGACTGCATTCCTACTGCAACGAACCAACACATAAAACTTTTAACATTCACAACAAGTCGACAAGTCGTACAAGCATTTCTCATTTGTGACTACTAGTCATTAAAGTTGAACCAAATTTCATAAAGAACATCACGGCCTTAATCTGTTGCACTACATTATTCATGCTAATTGATTCTGTTTCAAAGACCAGACTAGTCCTCCAATAGTCTTACAAGTCTTACAAGCATTTCTCATCTGTGACTACTAGTCATTAAAGATAAACCAAAATCTCATAAAGAACATCACGTCCTTAATCTGTTGCACTACATTAATCATGCTAATTGCTTCTGTTTCAAAGACCAGACCATGTTCTCCAATAGTCAATTATTCATATAATCCCAGACCATGTTATGAGCTGCTTTGGATCACAGCTTCTTGATATAGATTGGTAAAAACACATTGCAAGAATGAGGTAAATACATATATGGAGTCATTTACCAGGGAGTCGAGGTGATTTCTCAGCAGCCTGCAATGAGTTTTTTGACTTTCGAACTGGTTCTCGAGCCTTCAAACCATCATCAGAGCTACTCTCACTCTCTGAATCACTTGCACTATCAGAACTCCTGCAAACAAGTACAAATAGAGGACTTCACTCGCTAGTAATGATATTTCACCATTTAAAACCTCCATGTCAAAAGCAAAGAGCAGTCAATTATGAGAAAATCGTTCCAAACTGAAAAAAAGAAAAAGATGAAATGAAAGATATAGCCCTTGGCATAAAAAAACTAGAGTCTTGATGTACTAACATAAATCTCACAACACTGCTCAACTGGCAGTAATTAGTTTAACATAAAAATCAATTATATTGAAAGCACCGATTATATTGAATAGAGCAAAAAACCATAACAAAATATACTAAGATAAAGAATTGAAAGTTCATACTTTAAGAACTAATTAATCGTTTCCTCTCAAATTTTGACAGAAGAAAGACGGTTGGTCAAAAAACATGTGTTTAGTTAGTGTAAGAATCATAAGTCGTAACAATCTAAGTCGAGTATATTGGGAGGAAATCAAAATATTTTTTTTGTCCAAACAGGTTGTCAAGTAAAGGGTGCTCTAGAAAGGTGGAGAATATCACAAGAAAATGAAATGAAATTTAAGACTCTTCAAGAATACAGGAGTTCACACATTCAAGATCTTAAGATTACAGCTAAGGACCATGGAGCTGTAAGCATTTTTTAAAATACCTAAGGAGAATACACAAAATTACTCAACCAAAAAAAAAACGGGGGTAACAACTGGTGCTAAGATATATTGACATCAGACCATTTTGACTTGCGCCTTGACCGTCTATCACGCCGTCTTTTCCGTTTCTCCCTGCGCCTGTCCCTCTTTCTTTTCCCACGCCTATGGCGATCCCTTCTTGATGATTTCTTTCTTCTTCTACGCCTGTCTTCACTAGAACTACTTCCGTAAGAATCAGAATCAGTATCAGAGTAAGTATCAGAAGAAGACTCGTCATCCGAGTCAGACGAGCTATCAGAATCCGAGGAATAATGCCTCCTCTTCTTCTTCTTTCTTCGATCCCTATAAGATCTCTTATGCTTCCTCCCCCGCCCTTCATTATCATCTTCAGAGGAGTATTCCCTAACATTTCTTGACTTCTTTGGTTTCTTTTTATCTGCAACAATCGAATCACAAATTCAATGTAAATACATCCACTATTAAAATGATACCACAATTTGCTCACTTCATGTCACAACAAACACCTATGGGTTACCTTTCTCTGTTGTCACCACACCATGAGCTTTGGCTTCAATAAACTCACCACAGTCAACAATTTTCACATTGTGAGTCGGCCTCCCTTGATCTGTACCAACCTGTTCTATTTTCTTTAGAACATCCATTCCTTCCACAAGTTTTCCAAAAACAACATGTTTCCTGCAACATTCATCAACCATCTCCATTGAATGGATGAATGCAATCATGCACTTAGCAGAACCAGAACATTAAATATAAAATTCAAAAAAACTTGAGCGTGACTACTGTCCAAAATTTAGAGACAAGAAGCAAGGAGAGATCACAGCAGAGAATAAGCCTAACAATAAGAGGCAGTACCCATCAAGATGGCCTGTAGACTTAAAGGTGATAAAGAATTGAGAACCATTTGTGTCTGGACCAGCATTTGCCATGGACAAAACACCAGGCCCATCATGATGCAGCTTGAAGTTTTCATCTACAATTGAAGAAAACAATTTAGTGTTTAATGTGAAATAAGGCTCACAATCTGCAAAAAGCCAAAACATAACAAGTGAAAAAAAAAAAGTTCACACACCTACAAACTTCCCACCATATATGCTCTCTCCACCAGTGCCTGTCCATGGATGTAAAGAACTAATCAATTCTCCCAGTACACATACCAAACACAAAACAAGCTCACTAGACATTAAATTTTCATGACACAGCCCAAGACAAAAATGCCACAGACCTAAGGGCACAAGTGCACTACCACAAATACATTTAGAACTTGGATAAATTACAAAAGATATCATTGGTACTCCATTAGAAGCTTAGAACTTTAACTCTGAGGTTGACAAAGAGAAAAGCAACCACTCCACCAGATTATATTTCTTCCAAACTTGAATCAATTCATTTGCACTTATTAAAAAAATCAATTCATTTACAATTCTCCTACAAGAGCCAAGAGCTTCTGACCAGGCACATATTTTACGACAGAAGCTATGGACCACAGTTCAAAATATCTACAAGTGAATTTGGGAATAAACACTTGATTAGACTTCATGACCAGAACTGGGCTAAGCCATGACATAGCTAGTGACTTGGAACCCATGATTGTTGTAAGACATTCTATTTCATCTGAGCCAGCTTACTTGATGAACCCATAATTTTCTTTTTTAGGTGGACAAGCTGGAAACTGAAGTGAGTTTTGGAGACCGAAATAACTTTCTTCTCCCTAGAACACTCTTAAAACCCATAAAGCATTAAAAGGGTTCCATTTTTTACCCCTTTCCTTACAAAACATCTAATGCTAGGTCCATCCAAATAAAACTTCCTTTAAAGAGCCATTTGGGTACCTGGAAATCTATTACATGACTATAGATTACATTTCCACTGTTTGGGTACACTTTAATAGTAAGGAAATGGAAAGAGATTACCCGAGATTTCTCCAAAAAAAAAATGAAACCGATTACGCGGTGAAAGATCTATTACACGCCTTGACAGTTAATCTTTGGGAAATCTTTTGCTCACACCTCTCTGCCCTATTCCGCTTAAAAAAATTCCAACCCGCCATTTTCCCTCTCTCAAACTCGTGAACTTACCAAAGCGACACTTCTCTCTTCACTGGTAAGCCCTATACTCTCTCTGGTAAGCCCTACTCGCTCTCTCCTCTTGAGCCATAATAATTGGCTTGCATACGTGCTCCCTCCCTCTCTCTAAGCCCGCCCCCTCTCTCTCTTGAGCCCTAATAACCGGTTTGCAGCTCCCTCCCTCTCTAAGCCTGCCCCTTTTATCTCTCTTGAGCCCTAATAACTGGTTTGCATAAGGCCCTACTTCTTTAGTCTCCTCCAATGCCTCAAAATCTTCTACTGCAATAACCAAACCTTCTAGTTTACTAATCAAACTTCTTCCCATTTTTTAACTTGTACCATAAAGATTTTGAATTTGGTATCATAAATTTATTGCTTATTTGAAATTATATAAATACATTTAAAAGACTTCTATAAAAAATAAATAAAAATAAGGCTTATCACGATGAAAATATGTTATTCCAATCATATTATTCCAATGACTTATCCTGTTAAAACCAAAGTCTAATCATGTTAGAAGGCATGTGATTCCTTGTAAGTGCCAAAGGTATGCAAAATAAGTAGGAAATGGTGTGATGATGACTTTAGAATGGTACAAGTTATTATTAAAAAATCTTTTTGGAATGGTGATGATGTTATTATTAGAAAATCTTTTTGGAATGGTGTGATGAGGACTTTAATTCCACATTTCAGTGGCATTTCGTGACAAAAAGGAAAGAAATGATAGTTCACGGGCAAGTGCTGGTAAAATGTTGGTAATGCATTTCCCATATTTCTTAGCCAAACAGTAGCAATGTATTTCCCAGGTTGCATCTAAATACTACCCAAACAATAACAATCCATTTGCAGGTAATGTATTACCGCCAGTAACATATTTCACAAACAATAAATTTCCAGGTATCCAAACGGCCCTTAAACGAAGAAACCCAGCTAAAATAGTTAAGCGCACCAGTCATTAAAAAATAGCCAAATTGTGACACAAGTGATTCTGCCTCTGGTATGAGCAACTCCAGGAAGTTGACTGTGATCCAGAGGTTGTTAAGGTTTAGAGACCCAGAGGTTCAATTTTCGTCTTTTCTGAAAGTTAACTGTAACCCAGAGTTTAAGGTTAAGGATTGACTTTTTAGCATTGTGGTGCGAGGGTTATATGGTGTATGAGATTCCACAGGAGTCCAAGCGTGGAGGTTGTTGTTTAATTAGTCAATCTTATAGTTCCCTCAAAGAGGTCTTCATTGCCAAGATGTGGCTTCCTGTAACAGTTTCGTTATATGAAGGGGCCAACCACAAATCATCCTGTCTTTTCATAGACGTATGAGACTATGGCAGGATCATGAGGCAGACAACCCTGTCCAACTGCATTTCTTGTTGTTCCAAGTTTCTAAATGGATTTTGGCACCTCCAAAGCTGTCGAGATCAACTTCAAAACCAATCACTGAGATTAAACAATTAATTCAGCTCCTTACATGAGAAATATCTTTAAAATTAGTCTTCCAATGCTAAGAAGTAAGAACCAAAAGATTTTTCTGGTAGATATTTGCCCACGTTGTTGGGTTCCGATGTGGTTTACTCCCTAATACCATTGGTCTGGGAGGCCCAATACCCCATGGTTTTTGCATGACAAACAGCAAGATCTCGACAGGGGACCAACTTCAGTAACAATGTTTTCCCAAGCATTAGGAGGCAGCCGGGATGATAGCATGATTGTTGAGGGGACCACCTTCAGTAACAATGTTTGCCCAAGCGTTACGAGGCAGCCGGGATGATAGCATTATTCATCTATTAATCCACACCAAGTATGCAGGGACGATTGGATTCACTTTTTTGGACTTGCTTGTTTTCACCTGGGTGATCCCAAACCATGTCTTCCCTCAATGCTTGCTAATCAGGTAGCTCATATTTCAAAAGACAATTCAAATATAAATTGCTCTGCAAGATATTTTGCCTCATTACATTTAGGGGGTTACAGAATTGATGAACTACACAAGAGTAAAGAGCAGATATTCTGAAGCTTTGCTGCCACAGCACCTTTGTCTAGCAATGGCTGTTGGGAAAACAACTCCCGTGTCTTGGTCTTGAATAGTAAGCTCCCATATCAACTCTCATACCAGTTCTCTTTTAGCATCGTTACTAGAACATAATTGACATCTTGAGCCAGTCACCTGTAGGCTCCACTCTATCATTCATAGGCACAGACTGTGAGGGTGATCACGCAGTTAGGCGTGTCTAAAATTAGAAGAGTTACCCTCTGATGCTCCATTCATTTCCATCAGCCATTTAGATGGCTTTGCAGGTTGCTAGAGACCAACCCTGGAGGGGCACAAAAATTCCTAATCCAAGAATTTTTCCACCTAGCCATCATTCCAAAGGAATTTCCTTGTTTTTCCAGGGAAAGAGAAACCCCCCATTTCTTGACTCATATTTTATCCTTCTCATGTGGTACCCTAAGGAATGCAGTTGAAAGTTGAAAATGGCAATAACCATCAGAGTTTCCCGATTTCGAGCTGTACCCAATGTTCCAGGCCACAGTTGCCCATAAGCTGATAGCTTCCACCTCCACCAAGACAATAGGAAGATATTGACCTCCTGAACAGGGCCGCCGTTCTTCTCTTATTGACACCATATCTCCTACTATCACGATTTCTCCAAATAACCTGAGACCTATCACTGGAGACACTTATCAAGTTCGAAAGCATCGCAAAAAATCAAAGACCTAACTCTCATTCTAGTATCCTAAACTACAAGTGAATTATGGTAAGTGCTGCCCTGATAACAACATAGAATGAAAAAATGGATCGGAAAGGCTGAAGGTGGATGGTATTCTATTTTTTTTGAAGTGGGTGGGTGGATGTATTATCACTAAACATTTGCCAAAATCTTGTACTGAGAAAGTCATCAGCCCTAGTGGCATCCCGTAAAACCACAAAAGAATATGCCCATTCTGTCTATCATCTTTAAGTGTGTCTCCCAACATCCAATCGGCGATCCAACAGGACAATGATTTCTCGTTTCACAAAAGGAACCAACAAGTGCTCTAAAAATACATGCATTCCAATTAGTGTCTAGCACGGCATGCACTTTTACTTTGGTACCAAGAGCACTGTCAGACCTACAAAAGGCCATTACATTCAAATTTTCTATGGACCTTAAACTTGCCTTAGCAGATATCGACACCAAAAGGAAACCAAGAAACTAATTCACAAGCAAGTTTCATAAAATAACTCAACTTGTTTTATGTGGTTATTAAATCTTAAAATCGATGATTATTGGCAAAATATATCATCATATGAATGAATAAAAATTAATCATTGTCATAATAGTTCATTTTACCTAAAAGATAATTTAGGAGGTTGACACCTCAAGACCACATCGGATTTGAAAGCCAACATACATGATACATAGATTCACATAAAGAGCACATGTGCCCCCAACACAGACAAACAAATATAAATATCAGTGTTTCAGAAAACGCTAGGCGACCAGCCTGGTGCCCAGCACCCAGGTACCAAGCAGGTGCCCAGAACCTCAAGCGCTCTGCCACCCTCAAGTGAAAAAATGCATATATGTGTTGTTCAAAAGCACATATGTGCAAATATTTTTGTTAATTTTGCAATTTTTGCATTTACAAATATTGTAACTAACTTTTCCATGCAAATGTATATGCATGAATGTTGAAACACATTCAAAACTTCAAATCATTGAAAATTAAGAGGAAAAAAAGTCAAAACATAAACAAGTCCACAGTGTACTAAGCTCGAGCCATCCAGTCTAAACTAAGTACGCCATGTTCCATACTGACGCATGAACATGATCACAACTAAACAAAATGAAGTACAAAATAGAAGTATAAAACCAATAGTCCAAATGTCCAATACAATAGGATGGAATACTCAAGACAATGAAAATTGAAATACAAAAGAAGAGAGAGTTCTTTCCTCCATAATAATTTGGTCTTTGATGTTTTGATATATTTCAAGCTACAAAATCACCGAAAAGTCTTCAAATACATTCACTAGTACCCTAAAAAAATTCCAACAATGAAGGCTAAGCTTAGATTCATTTTTTTTTTTTTTTTCACTTTGGGCGTTTAGAATGCCCCCAATTAAGGCGTTAAACGTACCAAATGGAGTAGAGAAGAAAAATCATAACAAGAATAGCGAAGAGATTTTATGCCTACATGTAGCAATTTATGTCATATGGTCCTCTCCCATTTTTTGAAAGAGAAAATAAGTTTTAAAACTATAAGCTATACAGCATAAAAGGTGTAACAAACAACATTTTTAACAATTAAAAATACAACTCAAAATTTGAACCACACACATATGTAAAGTTTTTGAGAATGTGAGGTCCCACCTACTTCCAAAAAGGATAAGGAGATATATGGCAACAAAATTATGGATTTGTATCATGCAAGACATTTCAAGGAATGGCAAGTCAAGTGTAAAGATCCAAAAATATTGGTATGACAGTCATTTTGCCAATTTCGAGAAAAGAATGAAAGAACCTCAGTGCATTTCATATGACTCATAAACCACAGTCCCTTGATGTTTAGAATTTAAGATATATAAACATATGTATACAGTGTTGGGTATGTGTTGCACATGTGATTCTGATTATTCAGGAAAAGCATTGAGTCAAATGCCCTCCTACTGCTAAGGAATGAAATAAGTTATTTTTTGTTTTAAGAGATCTAAATAGCAGAAGTTTTCAAAAACATCTCCCTAAATAAATTTCTTTTATATGGAACAGTGTTTCAAGACTCGACCAGGACTACTCGGACTCGGCTGAGTAACTCAGCCTCACCCTATGGGCAAGGCGAGTTTGCCCCGACTACACTGTACACGGGTTCCTAGTAGGTTATATATAATAATGTGCCAATTTTTTTAATGAACATTCAAGTAACACACCGATGTTTTAAATGAACATTCAAGTAACACACATGGTGAGAGTTCAAATCCCACCTTAATCATCCGCTTTCCTTTTGTTTAACCTTTATATATATATAGGAAAAAGTTTATATAAGATTGCAACCTTAAAATGTAGAATTAAAGATGTATCTCAAAAATCCATCGAAAAAGGTTGTTTTAATGTTGAAAAACCCTCGAATTAATCATCTCAACATCAAGATGTATAAATATGAAAAAAAAAAATATTGAGTCCCCAAAATAGTTCATCTTGCAACATATTATCTAGAGAGTCCATTTTCAATATTTTCATATATTTATAGATCTACTTGATTTTAACCATTTTTAAAATTTAAAATTTTATAATTAGATATGAAAATAGATTTTCAGATAATCTTAAGAATCTTTTACACCAATATAATAAAATTTGGAGGTGCGCCTTAAAGGATTGTTAAAGAATGCAACCTTATAGAAACCAAGGGCAGAGGACCTGACCATCAGGTCATCGGACTCGCCTGAACACTGATATGAAATGTAAGAAGAGAAAAGTGGGTGTAAATGCAAGATGATAAATCAACTGAACCAGAACCCCCTGGATGCATTGGAAAGAGTTCCTTTAATATATAGCAAATAGCACATCTTTCATATTGAAGGCATTGAGGTCCAACATAAATCATACCATATCGTAATTTCCATGAATCACATGAAAGTTTTGATAGTCACATATAAAAAACACAATACAAAGTATTTATCTAAATCAAGTATTGGGTGCAAGGAAAACACATACCATCTTTTCTTGAAAAATCACCACCCTGCAAAATAATGCGAATCATCAGTACCCATCATCAATGGTCTAGCACGAAATGGTTCAATGCTCAAAATTCATGGTTCAGGCAAGATGACCCACTACAAATATTAACAATGAGGCTCAACCAGTAGATAATGTACAACCTTAAATTTACATCAACAAGAAAAGCAGTCTTGACCATCAGCTACCTTTACCCTACATCATAAACAGGGGGAACTGACCAACAATATAAAGCTCAATAGCTTTTACAATGCTAATACTTAGATACATAACAAAATTCCAGAAGATTCACTTTCCTACAACAAACAACGCTTCCGAAGTAAATCAGAGAACCTACTTGAGCCATAAATCCTTTGATTATGCGATGAAATATCGATCCCTTGTAATGCAGAGGCTTTCCTGTAACTTGTCCAATGCCCTTCTCGCCTACAAAAGTATAAATAATTTAGAGCCATTGTCATAAACATAATCCAAGTACATAATAATAGAAATCTAGCACAGCAAAATGGTATCTAACAGTGAAACATGTGACATTCAATCAGCAAGAAGTATGATGCCACAATTTAATTCTATCAAATCAAATTAAAGAAGAGCCAAGTACCTAGATATCTTAAGCACCAAAGTGAAACAAAAGCGAGGCGCATTGATAAAATGTAAAAGAACATCATCAACCATCGAAAATTCATAGTTTGGAGTCACTTGATCTAGGGAAGTAGTAAAGAAATTCATAGATGTTGCATACTAATTCAGTGACATGAACTAATACACACACACACACACACGCAAAGCATATATATATATATATATATATGGAAAAAGTTTATATAAGGTTGCAACCTTAAAATGTAGAATTACAAATGCACCTCAAAACTCCATCGGAAAAGGTTGTTTCAATGTTGAAAAACCCACTAATTGATCATCTCAACATCGAGATGTATGAATATGAAAAAACAAAAAGATTTTGAGTCCCAAAAATAATGCATCTTGTAATACATTATCTAGACCATCCATTTTCAAGAGTTTCATGTGTTTATAGATCTACTTGATTTTAACCATTTTTGGAGTTCAAAAATTATTAATTAGCTATAAAAATAGACTTTGAGATAATCCTAAGAATTTTTTCACCAAAATTACATGTTATGATAAAATTTGGAGGTGCGCCTTAATTGGATTGTTTAAGGTTGCAACCTTATAGAAACCACAAACTATATATATATATATACATACACATCGTCAAAACCTTTTCCCAAATAATTCGGGTCAACTACATAAATCCTGCTTCGCCCTCTATTAAGGGCCATATCATCATATGTCTCCATATCTTTTCTCACCACTTCCAACCATATCCTTTTAAGCCTACCCTTTGCCCTTTTTGAATCTTCTACTTGAACTAACTCGCACATCCTAACAGGTGTTGTACTGGGTCTGCGCCACACATGGCCAGCCCAACTATGTCTACTCTCTCATCTTATCGCCTATTGGTGCACCACCTAAATTTTCCTAAATATATTCATTTTGAATTCTATCCCTTCTTGTAGGGAAGGGGTTCCCTTCGTGTGTGTGTGTGTATTGTGGATGGATCAATGGGGAAAGGATTCCCTACCTGTGGTAGGAATAGAACTCAAGATGTCATTTTGTTGTACCCACCACCATGGCCACCTATGCTATAAGTCTATTCCTAAAAATATTAGAGGAAAACATAACAAAAGCAAAGAATAGAGAACTCCAAAATTCAAAATTAGCAACTAATTTCAAAAGCAAGGATGTTCTACAACTCACTTTGTGCAAAATTGACGAGTCCTTCCAAGAAAACTACTTAGAGGACAACTTAACTACTTGGACAGAGAATAGACATCGGGAGGATAGGGTTACCAAAATAATAATATAATAAATTTCACAGCAAAGAAATAATGTGGTTAAGAATCATGAAGAATAAGGTCACCAAAATAATAATTGCATAAATATTGAGGCAAAGATGGAACATGGCATACAGAAAGTGAGCATATCTAATTACAAGAGCATCCACTGAACCACATAACAATCAGAAGTTAGACCTGATTGATAAATTACATCAAAGTTGAAGCTACAATGCAAATATTAATTGTAAGGAAACCAGAATAGGAGATACTGATATGCATGGAAGATCATATACCTGTACAGAGTGCTCGGAAATTCTCAGCTGTCTTAGGAACAACATCAGAAAATAGCTGTCAATTACACAAAATGAACGATTTTAATAATATAACAAATATTTATATTGATCACAAACAATTACAGGGAAATAAGGCAGGGTTTAACAGAGCCAAAATGAAAACAAGGGCCATACAACAATCAAACTTAAAAGTGATCAAAATTGTAACATAGTTTCTGGAGGTACCTCAAAGACCATTTTTCCAGCAGGATCCCCACCAATTGATACATCCAAAAACACAAGAGAATTCTTTTTCTTAGCCATCTTTTCAGACTTCATTGATGTTGAAATGCAGCTGGCGGTGCCAAAGATCAATTTTGCAGAATTCAAATTAGCAAACGAAAAAAATCCAATAAATAACGAAAATGGAAAAGCCTTCTACTACATTTTCTTGGTTATTAGACCATCATAAACCATATTTAAAAACAAATTAAGTTGCAAATGGATGAATAAATTATACCTAATTACCAACCAGAACCCTATCCAATTATCATATTAAGAACACGCACTTTACTTTGCATCGACGACATAACAGAAAATAAAAAAATAAAAAATGAAAACGAAAGTTCAATAATCCCAGTTCTCATAGGCAGAAGCGACACCAAGATCTAATTCCTTTTGATAACTCAGATTCCTTATTACTGGCAAGTAATTGATTCAGCAATATCGTCGAAGGAGTGCATTAAAATAATTGAAATGTATCAAAAGCTCAGAGCCTAAAACTAAATTCAGCCACAACAAGAAAAACAAAGAACAAATATTTTGAACCCAGGTAAAATAAAAACGAGATTAGACCATAAACACCCAAAGAAAATATAAAAGATAGAAACGCCCAGACACCAACCATCCAGTAAAGCATGCCAGAACACTAATCCCAACTATGAGAAACTTCACAAGTCCGACAAACATAAAAAATAAACCTAGAAAACACAGAAAAGCACAAACCCTAACAAGCACACAGCTAAGCATGGTTAAACCCTAAACCTTCACAAACATTCACATAGCACATGAAACTCAAATGCTTCCACGTAAACTGAGACAAACCCTAGAAAAGAAGGTCCCGCGACGATAGAAGTTTAAAACCTGACCTCAACAAGCCATCGATGCATACAGTGATAAAACGTATCAAAAAGGGCAAACAAAAAGAGAAGACAGCAATACGATGAAAATAAGATGAAAGCTCACCTAGTCCTAATGGCGGCGGCTAAGCCGATGACATGGGATTAGGGTTTTCAGGGGGAGGGTTTGCAGCGATTGGGGTTGGAAATTTGGGGCTCCATGTGACCGAAAACCTAAGAAAAGCTAAACCTCAAGCTATTTGTTCATTGAAAATAAAAGAGGGGTAGGAGAAAAATGGAATTTGACTTATAGAACCCTTCTCGCTCAAATAAAATCCTTTCTCGCACCACCCGTTCTCTCTTTCTCTCTCTAATATCTATCTCTCTCTCCTCTCACTACCCCCTCTCTCTCTAGAGTATCTATTTCCTTCCTCTAACTTTCTGGGGTATTCTGAGTCGGTGCGACGCTAAGGCCCTTCTTCACACGAGTGTTGTAGGTGGCGTGAACCTCATGGACCGAGACTACATTCAAAATTACCAAAATCTCCTTAGATTTTCAGAAGAACTTACCATAAATCCTCTCTCTGGACTCTAGAGGCTTAAAGTTCCTCCTTTGTATTTGGCCACTTTCACCGAGTCGGAGTTTCTCTCTGAGCGTGTATGCTATGCTCCCTAGGGAGCCTAATATACAATTTACTCACTCGGAGAAAACACTGGCTTAGGAGTTTTTTCATTTTTTTTTTATTTTGAAGTTTTGGGATCTATCTAATTATAAATAGATGATTACTTTAAAATAAAATATTAGATTTTTTTAATTCATGAACGTCTGGATCATTCCCTCCAAAAATAGATGTATCTAGGACAATTTTGTGATGATATATTTTTTTTTAGTCACATAGAGTGCAAGGATTAAAACTTTTTTTTTTTTTTGAGGTTGTTCCATTGATTCTAGATATCACATCCCTAAAATTTTGGATAAAAAAATGGGTGAGGTTCGATAAGGTTGTTTTTTTTAATATGTAGAAATAAGACGTGCCGATAAAATTTACTTAGAAATGTCGTTTTGGTATTTGACAGAGGGTCCAACTATAAATAGTGTACAGTCTAGATAAGCTACTAAAATAGTTTGGGAAAGCTCACGGGGGAGCATATACGTACAATAACTCTCCTAGGCAAAAGGGCAACTTTTGATTTTTATTTATTTTTTGATCTAAAATTTTGAGATCTATCTAAATTTTGGATTCGAAGTTATCAAACGCTTAGATCTTGCCCTCCGAAAACTAGGCGGTTATTGTTCAATATTGGGATGTAAATTTGTTTTAAGCATATAAATAGTCCTAAAATTATTTTCTTTGGCAGTGCCAACTACATGGGTCTTATTTGGGCTTGCACTTCAATTCAAGCTTTTTGGTTTGTTACCATATGCACCCTCTCTCGAACGGTCTGTGGCTGTAACTTAAGCCCATTCCTTGGGCAATTGCATAATTCAAATGGCCACACTTAACAACACAACCACCCAACCAATTGTATGGTTTGCTGGCCTCTTGCACGTATGCCCATGTTCCATTGTAGATATTCATTTTGGAATTCGCTTATGAGCAATAGGTAAGCAATAACCTAGTAGACCTTAGGGTACCATCTATCATAGATCTAATACCCCAAACTAGTCATCGTAGAAACCCTAGCTCAAATCCTAGATCTACGCAAGCCTAGGTACTCTAAGCCCTAGCCACTTCTCTACAATCTTAAGACCCTAAATTCATATCCAAAATAGTATTCAAAACCAAAGCCCTAAGATAATTATGTCAAATGCAATTTTCAAGGAAGAAAAGGAGATCGGGAAAAACAACCTAGGGTCTAATACGAGCACCGACTTCAGGTATACTGGGCCAACAAGCCCCATTGGATTATTTTTTTATTTTTTTATTTTTCTTCTTTAGTTTTAAGTTTAAGTTCATATTGATTTAGATCAATTTTAATTTTAAGATATTGTTCTGGATTTTGTTTGATTTCAAGTCGACTCTGTCAATGGTTTGTGAAGAATATTTGTTCATGCAGATCCTCCTTTTCATATGTCCTAATTTGACAAAACCCACAAATATTTACTAATCTTCAATTTTAAAAGTTTAAAGCATACTTTGGGGTGGTTTCTTCTGATATCTTCTCAAATTTTCATTGTAAACACATGTCAGGTCAAGTTGTCCATGGTCTAACTAACCAAGTTTTGCTTAAGTTGATTTTAGCTATATGTGGGCATCATCTTGCCCAAGGTCTTCAGTTACTAGCTCAAATACGTGTGCTTCATGTTCCAATGTTGCACAAACATCACCTCTCGCTCCGACAAGATTGTATAGAGGATAAAAATCAAGATTTGGATCAAATAAAGGAGACAAAATAGTGCATAAATTTTTTAAAGAAAGATACAAAGATTTATGTGGTTTGGCAAATTGCCTAAGTCCACAGGGAAGCGAAGTTCTCTTCCACTAATAAAAAAAACATCATGTAACTATGGTAAATGTAATGGATTACAAGCGTTCTCTCAAGTCTTAAAACATGATATTTATCTCTTTAGAACACCCACCCAGAGGACTACACAAAACGAACCCTTCTCTCTATTTTTACTTGTATCTCGAGGGTTGCCAATGGACAGCTCCTGCTCGTGGGCTTCTGGGTAGGGCCTGCTAACGGGCAGCTAGCAGGCTTCGGGCAGGGCCTAGGCCGTTTTGAATATAAACTGTTATTGGGAAAGGGCGGGGCGGGCTTGATATGCCCGGATTTTGTCCAACGAGCCAAGTTGTCCCTGGTTAGCCCATTAATGTCTCGTTTGGGCCCAAATAAAGCCTGGTCAGGCCCATTTAACATGCTTTTATTTATAATAAAAGCTTCACTCTTCAAATTTTTAATGTGTATGGTAACGTGCACATATATATATATATATATAAATATATAGTAATGATACTATGATACCCTCTCACACTCATGTGAGTAGGACCTCAAATGATCACCGTTAAATTTTGACACAAATCTTGAGAAAACCCATTCACCCAAGTCCCAAACCAATGTCATAACTTTTATAAATATCTGTGTCAAAATTTAATGGTGATCCTTTGGGGTCCTACTTACATGGGTGTAGGAAGGTCTCATAGTGTCATTTCTCATGTATATATATATCATATTAAAATATTTAAAAATATATATATAACTACTATATCTCTATAAACCCCATCTCTCTTCTCTATCTCTATAAACTCTATCTCTCTTATTTATCTAAAAACTCATTCTCTCTCAATAAAAATCCAATATCTCTGTCTCTTTCTGAATAATATCTCTCTCTAAAAATCATATTTCTCTCTAAAACCACTTTTTTTCTCTCTAGAAATCAAATCTCTTTTTCTAAAAATCCAACTTCTCTCTAAAACGCACTATTTCTCTCTCTAAAAAGTAGAAGCCAAATATCTCTTTCTTTCTCTAGGGCCTTCATGGTTCAATTCATAAATTGCAGAGGTTTCCATTCAATCTGGTTGACTTCTTCTAATCAATTGAATCTCGTTGAGTTCTTCTAATCAATTAAATGAATGCATTTATTTACCCAAATGCTGACGGAATATAGTGCTCTGTTTAGTTAACCAAGTTTCTAAACTGGCCCATTCAGTTTATTTCATGTTTCATGGCCAGCACACAGAACAAATAGTCACCACACACAAGCACGGCGCACGTGCGCACACAGGTAGAGAGAGAGAATATCACAGAAAGGGGAAAAAAATAAGCATTGTAGATGTAATATGAAGATTAATTTAGTATTGAAACTCCATACCATATTCACAAAATACAATGTTCTTGTTTGCTAGTGTGAGACGTTTTTCCATTGTCTCACAAATTTACAATTTAACATATTAAGTGGGTAAATAAATGCATTCATTAAATTAATTAGAAGAAGTAAACCAGATTAAATGGGATTTCTGCAATTTATGAATTGAACCAAGAAGACCTTTAATTCCACAATAAATAATTTTTTTTTTAAAATTACCGGACTAGGCCTAGGCCTCTACACATTGTTCCAAGCTTACCGGGCCAGGCTGTTGGCAAGCTTATTCTGGGCAAAGCATTGCCGGGCCAGCCTGGAACGGTTCCGGGCTTTCCCCGGCCTCCCCCGGGGCCGGGCCCTCTCCATTGGCAGCCCTATGTATCTCTCATTTTCTCTTTCTACAAAACTATTTTTATAAAGAGGACAACCCATGGAGACCCACATGACCATGACCCTCATCTCTCCTATTCCTCTTATGAATAAGGTAACATTAATTCCTCATAAGATTTAATATAATATTTTCCTTTTTGCATATCCCAAAAAATATGGAAGCCACAACTAATAGGCAAGACCACTTTTTTTTTTCCCAACAAATTAAAGAACTCATAGACTCTAAGAAAAATGGCTTCATGTTAACATTTTCCCACTTGAAGACATATTTCCATTATGACTAATATACTCCAAAAAATTGTTGCCCACTAGTATTAGGTTTCATAAAAAGTAAAAAAAAAATTTAAAAAAAAATTATCGGCAAGGCAAGTAGGTAATTTGCTATCAAAGTGGAGATTGTTAATAGTGATAAAAAAATCACCTCAGAGGGAATTGTCTTTTGTACATTGTTGGTGGCTTTTGTCACCATAAAAAGTGACTTGTATAAAAGACCAAAAAATAGGTTCTTTTGGACATTCGATTCACTCTACTTTGTTTTGCTCTTATCTCTATAGAAAGAGGCTAGGTTTTTTTTTGGTTATATGAGAAAGGAAAATAGGTGAAAAATGATTTATTGTCCAATTTTATGGAGAATTTATATGGGCTTGTCTTGCTCGAGTTTTTTGATCATTCGAATTTAAGCAGAGGCTATTGTACATTTTGGATGTTTTTAAGAACGTATTATGGTGATGGTTTTCACCGGTTTTTTTCCATTTAGGTTGGATGTAGCCCTACGGAGTGAACCACGTTAAATTATTGTTGTAGTTTGTTGTGGTTTGACTGTGTGATATTCGATGATAAGTTAAATTGGGGTTTTGGGTATTTGAATATCCAACTGGTTTTAACATAACCAAGGTTTGACACAGTGATTTAAAAATCGGCGAGTCGTAACAGACTCACCCGAGTCGGCACAGGAATCGGTTAGCCCGTGCCGATTCCAGTGCACCCGGTTCTACACTGGAATCGGTTACCCCGTGCCGACTCTAGTGTACTCGATTCTACACAGTGAATCGCTTGTATGACGTCATATACGGGTGAAAGTCGTCCAAATGACGTCACATTGACGTCATACACAGGGTGAAAGTCGCCAGTATAACATCACATAACGAGTTAACGCGCGACAAAATATGGATTTTCCACTGTTCACACGTGTTGCGACTCGCCTGAGTCGGCACGGGAATCAGTTACC